GGGGACCTAAAAGCGGATGGAGACCCATTGGGGGTCACTGGAGAACTGATGGGTGGCCTGGGGGACCCCAAAAGCGGATGGAGACCCACGGGGTCAATGGGGACCTGATGGGTGGCCCAAGGGACCCCAAAAGCGGATGGAGACCCATTGGGGGTCAACGAGGACCTGATGGGTGACCCAAGGGACCCCAAAAGCGGATGCAGACCCACGGGGGCAGCGGTGGTTTGGCGCGGGGGAGCCCAGGAGGGGACGCAGGCAGACGGCGGCGCCGCAGGGCTTTATTGGGGCGGCTGCCCTCGCCGCAGGCTGAGGACGGCGGGGTTGGGATATTCGGGTTCCTCCACCACCCCGGGCCCGAATTTGAGCTCCAGGAACTCGCGGGGGTTGTTGGGCCCCATGGCGGTGAAACCGGCGAAAGGCAGCGGCACGGTGGGCAGCAGGAAGCGCTCGGGGAACTCCACGTCCTGCGGGTGGCCGAGCCACGTGGCCTTGGTCATCACCCCGGCGCGGGGGAAGAAGGGCCACAGGTCGACGTGCAGCCGGTTGCTGCGGCTGTAATGCACGCGGTAGAAATCGCCCTCGGCCGCCTTCTCCCACACGAAGCCCTCGTCGTCCTCGGCGGCGCCGCTCTGCGCCGCCCGCAGCCAGCGGCACTTGGCCGCGTCGTCCCGGTAGATGCCGAGATCCACGTCGTAGTCCCACGGGATGACGTCCCGCAGCCGCACGGCTCCCAGCAGGGACCCCCCTTCCAGCCAGTACCGCACGCCGCAGCTCTCCAGCACCGCCACCACGTGTTTGGCCGTCTCCCTCAGCGCCTTCAGGCAGCACGGCGGCGTCCAGCGGCCCTGCACCAGGTACTGCGGCGTGCGGGCGCGCACGGTGCCGAAGCAGCGCTCCGTCTCCTTGCCGCAGCCGTACCAGCGCCGCGTGCCGTCCTCCAGCACCTCCAGCTTGATGCCGAACTCCTCCATCAGCCTCCGGCGCCGCCGCTCCCGCAGGTTCTGCGCCTTCCACACCTCGTGGGCCGAACCCAGGGGAGACGGAGCCGAGGGGAAACCGCGGCCGAGGACGCGGAGCCGCCAGCCTCGCAGCGCCGCCTGCACGAAGATGGCGAGGTCCAGGGGGCGCTGAGTCGGGAACGAGAGGCCGAAAAGGTCCTCGGAGCGCAGCAGCAGCGCCGCCGCCCCCGCCGCCGCCCCGCAGCCCCGCTCGGCCCCGTAGCGCAGCGTCCAGCGGCGCAGATCCACGTCCAGCCCCACGCAGCGCAGCGGCGTCGGACCCACCGGGGCCAGAACCACGCGGGTGTCGGCGTCCAGGGCCGCCACCATGGAGTCCAGGATGCCGGGAGCCGCTCGGGCGCCGTCGGGGATGAGGGCGACGTGACGGGTGCGGATGTGGAGCTCGAGTTTGGGAGGGGGGAGGAGAGGAGAGCGGCCGAGGATGAGCGTGCGGACACCGGCGGGGAGCGGAACCGGGGGGTAAAGCGGGGCGTCGGCCGCCACCACGACGGGGACGCGGAGGGACGAGAAGGAGCGCGAGGTGCCGGGCAGATCGTGAGCGAAGTCCTCGAAGTCCCGAAGCAAAACGGTGACCCCGGGGGGGGGGGGGGGGGGGGGGGGGGCGGGGCCACAGCGGGGGGGCGGGGCCACAGGGAGGAGGCGGGGCAAAGAGAGCGCGAGGGCGAGGAGGAGGTGGAGCGCGATGGCGGCCGCCAGGGCGGCCTGGAAGCGAGTGAGGCGCATGGCGGCGCTGTGCAGCGCGGGCTAATGAAGGAGGGGCCTTAATGAGTAATGGTTAATTGAGGAGGGGGCCTTAATGAGTAACGGTTAATTGAGGAGGGGGCCTTAATG